CGCCATCTGTCCTCGAACCGAAGGACGGAGTCGACGAGAAAGCAGTGGTTGGCCCACGCCAATTTCGCTGACGTCATGGCGAAGGGCGACGAGGCTAAGACGGCCGGGTAGAGTGGCGAAGGTCACAAGGGGGAGTGAGCCTTCTTGTTCTGGGGCTCTATGAACTTGAGGAAGGTGAACCCCATTCGCAAATGGACGACTCTTGGTACCGGAGTCTCAAACCTCCACGACTAGGAGTAGCGGTCGGCGAAGTGTGAGCCAACACTTCGCTAGGTCACTCACGACTTCCGCGTCTGGCTACTGTCGGTAGTCTTGGTGCCTAGTAGACGTTTTTCGTCACCACGTTAGGAATCAGGTTGGCTTGACGTCTGGGGGAGGGGGTCTGATGCGGAGTTTTTAGGCATAGGTAGGATATAATGTTTTGTCCCAACCACTGTTCCGCGCTTCGGGGACCGCTACGGTTGGGACGCTTTTTATGTTTACTTACTATATAATCTATTATCTATTCTATTAATGATCTCATCGTTCTACTTACAGATACCTTTTGCCAACGAGAAAGAAACACTATTGTTTAAATCAACCTCAGTACTTAGATCACACCACAAATACCGAAGTGCGAGAAACCTCTCCTAAAGTCCTATGTGATAACCGCATTCTTATTTTCGGTTCCTACCCTCACCTATGGTCATGAAGGATGGGTCATGACCGAAAGAACGAGATCGCGGGTACAAGCGGCCGAGATGGGTTTTCTCCGCAGGGTGGCTGGTGTCTCCCTTAGGGATAAGGTGAGAAGGTCGGTCGAAAGGAGCCAGTTGAGGTGGTTCGGGCACCTAGTAAGGATGCCACCTGGGCGCCTCCAGGGAGGTGTTCCAGGCACGTCCAGCTGGGAAGAGACCAAGGGGTAGACCTAGGACCAGGTGGAGGGATTATATCTCTTCGCTGGCCTGGGAGCGCCTTGGGATCCCCCAGTCAGAGCTGGTTGAGGGGGCTCTCTGCTGGAACTGCTAACTCCGCGACCCGACCACGGATAAGCAGGAGAAGATGGATGGATGGATGGAACTTGTATTGGACTATTCCACTTTTTTTTTCTCACCAAAAAAACCTTTTTCTTTTTGTATTACTTTTAATATAGTATATTTTAATATTAGATAATATTGTCTGCTTATCTTTATTATTGTGTTGCATTGTTGGAGAAGCCTGTGACCTAAGATTTTCAACGACATAATTACTCTGTAGCTATGTTAGTTTGACAATAAAGAACCTTGAACCTTGAACGTGTTATACCAACAGAGTCTCACTCCATCACATAGACAGAGAACCTTATCTCAGTCACTTGTATCAGTCACATACTTTTAGTGTCATCATCCAAATATTGGGATTGCAGATGAGTTTATGATTGCAGATTGGCTTGGAAATTGAGATATTTACTTTTTAGCTCTGTCTTTACCAAAACACCCCAGACCTCAATCATACAGTCCTGCAGCCTCACTTTTTTTAATTGAAGTCTGTTATTTTTTTAATATTCAATTTGACGTCATATTTTTGCAGTTAAAACTTCCACTTAAACTTGGAGGTGCTAACTGTCACTCCCGAAAATATCTGCAATCTCAATTTCACACCGGAGTTCCCAGGAATAAATTAATCTGCAAGTAACGAAGAGGACACGCATCAACAAACACACTCTTTAGACTCCGTTTCCTTTGAGGAAATATCACCAAAGTATTAGTCAACATTTGAAGAGTCTTAAGCCCACTTCAGGTGTGGCGTGAGGCAGATGATGCAAAACACTTAAAGAGTTCAGGGAACAATGATCAATGCAGCACTGAATAATTGATTCAACCACTTCAGCTCAACAGCGCTGAGACTGTGTTTCAAGGCAAATGTACTTTACTTCTTTGAACTGAAAGTACCATGCAATAGATCACATTTAGAAGTGTATTCCCTCTCCGTACCTGCAGTACAGCAGGGTCAAGCTGCAGCTGTAAGCTGGTGTGAACTTGTAAGGGAGATGTGCGAAGCTTCCTCTTGGTATCTTACCTCACCCTTTTGTTTTTTCACTTCAGTCAAACTTTGAGGTTTAACATATTTGTGCAGCTTCACCATCGCCACCTGAAGTTTAGAATGTGCTTCAAATACCTAGGAGAAAAAAGTGTTGAACTAATACCTGCATGAAAGCACAACTGGATTTAGAAAATAATTCAAACAGACAAACAGTGACAGCCGTTTAGTAGCAAAGACATTTACACGGGTTAAACATGAAGCAGGATTTATCTCTGTACAAACAACAAGCTGACAACCCTGGAGCTGGGTCATTTACTGAGCATGTTTCATGTGTCAAGGGAAGGTCATAAAGTAACATATTACACACATATGAGGCTAATTATTCCATTAGCAGCAGATATTTGTTGTGTGCTATCAAATTACATTTAAAAAAAAAAGAAAGGGGCTGGTGCAATGAACGACGAACAGATGAGTCATTTCGTCCTGAGTAATTATCGCTTTTGTCTGCAGCAGATGGGCTCAATCATAACAAGGAGCTTTAATTATGCAGACTCATTTACTGTGTCTAAGAGAGCTACCAGACGGTTTTATTTGAGTGATATAAGGCTGATTGTTTGACACGTTAATGCATGCATGGTTGGATGAACACTGTGAATTGAGTGAGTATATCCACAGAATAAATAATGCAAAGGATGAATGACTGGAAGGTGGTTTTTCTAGTATCCTTCTCTCGGCATCAGACATGTCAGCGGAGGTCTGTTTGCTGAGCAGTTTCTCCTTGGATGCACCCATCCAGATGCCAGCTCTGTCAGCCTCAGGATGTCATGCAGACACCAAAGTCTACTGTGTGTGTCCGTGTGTGTGTTTTGAATCAGGACAAACCCCTCAGTGTGTGACTTTTAAGATGCATGTTGGCAGTCAGTGAATGCAACATGGTGAGCAAATGTTGGGCATATAAAGGTTATGTTAAGACACTAATATGCCCAAAAAAGGGACACCTTCGCAAAAGCTCTTTTTAAACACTGTTTACACTTATATAGAGATATGCTGTACTACAAGTGGCCTCGGGGTTGGAGCGTGGCTAAGCATTTCCTCTATTCATTTGACATTTTCAGAGAAATTAGAAGAGATTTACTCTATGCAAGGAGAAGTTATATGAAGTGGTTTAAAAATATATCTTGACCCCTTTGAGATTGTGTGTCCTTGATTTTGTGACATTTCAAGCCACACAACAAGACCAAACATTTGTGAAGGGGCTGATATGGTGAACTTTTGCATGAGAGCCAGGGTTCGTAAGTAAAAGAGTAGGAAGTACAGATGGAACATGTTATCTTC